CTCAAATGCATCTTTAAGTTTAATTATCTCAAAAAAATATCAAATCTACTTAGATCTTTTGATTTTAACCCCTTTCAATGGAAATCGAGGTTCCTCTTTCAGTCTAATTTCAAAAGCTACTGAAGAAATTTTGAGGAGACTTGGTAGAATTGTCATTAATCAATCCGGTACTCATAATTCGATTTTAAGCTTTCCATAAAGGATTTGGTATTGGTGACAGGTAAAATGTATGAAAAAAGATGTCGAATTTCGACACTAGTGCATTATAATTTCTTAACTCACTCACTGCAAATGACCTTCTTGCACACCAAATCGTACTTAAAGTTGGTGTACCGATTATGCTACTTAAATATTTATCCCCTTCGAACCTTTGCAACGGAACTAGACTTAAGGTTGTAAAACTGAAAAAATCAAATTGAACCAGAAATTATAACTGGTTATGGTGCAGGCGAAATGGTCTGGATGCCGCGTATACCAATTATTCCCAATAATTTTCCTTTCCTTTTTAAGAGACAATGACAATTAACAATTCCCAAGGACAGACCCTTAAGGCTGTAGGCGTTGATTTGAGGACCAGTTGTTTATCACACGCGTTACTAGCCCTAATAATTTATTTATTTATTCTGTTATTAGTTAATGAATTCAAAAAATTCTTACTGACTAAGACGACTAACTTAAGTTACTTAAAATGATTGCTTAAACATAAATTTACCAGGCCTCTTGGAAGCGAGATATCCAAAGAATAACATTGATTTAATTCAATTAAGGTTCTGATCAATGGCGCATAGAATAATAAGACTTAACAATTGGAATGAAAAATATATCCACATGCCGAAGACTGCGTGATGGCACATTGAAGCCTATTCTACTTAAAAGCTCGGGACAGTCGACATAACCTCCTAAAATGTTAGCGACGCAGGAACCTGACAGAAACGCCCTTCTACTAGACAAAGACTTTAAGTCCAGTAGCATACAACGCGAAAGATATGACGGCATTGGTTCCGTGAATTTCATTGAGGACAGTGCAAAACGTATAAATGATTTCTGGATACGCTCTATTCTATTTACGTAGGTAGCATGATAAGGTCTCCAGATAAAAGCAGCATATTCCAGTCGCGATCTTACGAAAGCAGTGTAGAGCGTATTATACATTTTATCTCCAGATGGAAAGACATTAAATATTGTTTAGAAAGAAATTTTGTAAATAAAAACTTAAATTTAAATTTTCGTTGTTTTTAATGAGAATTTTTTATTTAAAATGGCAAAAACTATTGCAAAACTTTTTAAAGGTAAATTAAAATGTAACCATGTGGTAATATAGGCCGTAGCATAGTCGATATAAAGTTGGCTGTTAAGTTGCAGCTATTTTCGAGAGGCATCCCATTGAAAATTACGCCAAAGCACGTCTAATAAATTAAGAACCCACTTCTTCTTACCTCGGACGGCGGGACTTTGTTTTTAAATTCATCAAATTCTTTAAGCTGCGCTGACAAAGTCGCGGGTATCAGCTAGTATAATATAAAAATACACTCACTTACAAATTTCAGTCGGATATCTCGAAAACATAGGGACTAGATCGGCTCAGCTCAACGTTCCGATCATATAAGTATACATTTTCATGGGTCTATCTATTCTTATTCTGGTACTTAAAAACATCGGACCGAATTTATAATACCATTTTATGCTCATGAAAGTTATTATTATTGTGGAAAAACAACAATAGTTTAAAAATGAAAGAAGTTATAGCTGCTATTTCGGAGATCAACGCATCTCCTCATCAGACTTCTTCACCGGGATCAAGGGATATGAGCCAGTGACTTCGGATTACAAAGCCAGTGACCTACCCCAGGGCTTATTAACTAGCACCGCGATACACACACATATCATGTCACACTAAACTCACGAGCTAGTTGATTTGACACCATCCTCGTGTGGTACACTCGTTTTATCTTGCACTCCACCACGTTGGATCAATTAGCCTAGTATTCAGAAAGTTTAATTAATTTTTTCATTTGGAACCGATTTTGCAGATTGTTAAGCTAAAAAATAGTTTTAAGTACTATATATATATGGGACGTTCCGCGTCAAACGTGACAAAGCTCTGTCCAAAATTACTTTTGATCCAAAAATTTTTAAATACAAGGGAAATTTAGCATTTTTTATGTACTTTCGATTGCTGAGTGGCGTTTTTTAAAATTTTGTTCCCAGACGGAGCTACGCGTTCCCTAACCTTAAAAAAATACTGCTTTACGAAATGGTCAAGCTGTCAGAAATCACAGGGGCTCAGAAAAATTCCAAACAACAACTATTTTCATGTATTTTGTGCTGATGAACACGAATGTGGTGGTATTTTTTACCGATACCTCAAGCGTTCCTCCCTAACCTCAAAAAACACCCCCTAAAATTGCTGTTTCGCGCAGTTGAGGTGTTTATCCTCTGATCGACGTGAGGAAAATTATTGACAGAGACTATTTTATGTATTTTGTGCTGCTGAACACGAATTCGGCGGTATTTCTCACCAAGACCTCAAGCGTTCGTCCCTAACCTCAAAAAACACCCCCCAAAATTGCTGTTTTACGCGGTAAAGAAATCATTGACGAAGGCACTCAAAAGAATACGTCTGGAGGAAAATCATTGACGAAGTCACTCAAAAGAATACGTCTAGAGGAAAATCATTGACGAAGGCTATTTTTATGAATTTTAAACCACTGAATTTGAACACGAAGCTAAATTTTTTTTTTACATTTACTGCAGTGCACTCAAAAAATGTAACTGATTACTGATTATATGGTTACTGTGCAACATTTTTTATTAATTCATGGGAAAGCTCTCTGCGTTTTACAGGGTTGAGACTGTCTTCATTACAAAGCCCGAATTACTTTCTTTTTTTTTCAAGTTTTTTAATTTTTAATTAGTTTTTTTTTTGTATATTTGTATTATTTTGTTAAACATTTTTTAAATTGATTCATTAATATTGTATTATTGATAATGGACTTGGTGCATTAGAGTATCTAAACACAGTAATTTCTTTGTCAGGAGAAACTAAAAACGCATGTCCTTCGCGATTTTAAATTCAAAACAACTTTATGACTGGGCGAGACAAAAGTTCCGAAAAATAACATTCTTTCACTATTCCAAAAAAGATTACGAAAGAACTTCAAGATCACTAAAGAAAAGATTCTCGGCTGCACCATCTGTTACAAAAATTTCAGAAGGACATGCGTTTTTAGTTTCTCCTGACAAAGAAATTACTGTGTTTAGATACTCTAATGCACCAAGTCCATTATCAATAATACAATATTAATGAATCAATTTAAAAAATGTTTAACAAAATAATACAAATATACAAAAAAAAAACTAATTAAAAATTAAAAAACTTGAAAAAAAAAGAAAGTAATTCGGGCTTTGTAATGAAGACAGTCTCAACCCTGTAAAACGCAGAGAGCTTTCCCATGAATTAATAAAAAATGTTGCACAGTAACCATATAATCAGTAATCAGTTACATTTTTTGAGTGCACTGCAGTAAATGTAAAAAAAAATTTAGCTTCGTGTTCAAATTCAGTGGTTTAAAATTCATAAAAAATAGCCTTCGTCAATGATTTTCCTCTAGACGTATTCTTTTGAGTGACTTCGTCAATGATTTTCCTCCAGACGTATTCTTTTGAGTGCCTTCGTCAATGATTTCTTTACCGCGTAAAACAGCAATTTTGGGGGGTGTTTTTTGAGGTTAGGGACGAACGCTTGAGGTCTTGGTGAGAAATACCGCCGAATTCGTGTTCAGCAGCACAAAATACATAAAATAGTCTCTGTCAATAATTTTCCTCACGTCGATCAGAGGATAAACACCTCAACTGCGCGAAACAGCAATTTTAGGGGGTGTTTTTTGAGGTTAGGGAGGAACGCTTGAGGTATCGGTAAAAAATACCACCACATTCGTGTTCATCAGCACAAAATACATGAAAATAGTTGTTGTTTGGAATTTTTCTGAGCCCCTGTGATTTCTGACAGCTTGATCATTTCGTAAAGCAGTATTTTTTTAAGGTTAGGGAACGCGTAGTTCCGTCTGGGAACAAAATTTTAAAAAACGCCACTCAGCAATCGAAAGTACATAAAAAATGCTAAATTTCCCTTGTATTTAAAAATTTTTGGATCAAAAGTAATTTTGGGCAGAGCTTTGTCACGTTTGACGCGGAGCGTCCCATATATATATATATATATATTAGGCCGGGTCGATTTGTGGGGAGGCAAAAAAATCGCCCATTGCTCTGTGAAAATCATATTCTAGGGATCAAAATAAGAAACTTTGCCGAAGGAACCATACCTCTAAAACGAATTCTGATGTCCCCCAATTTGGGTCGAACTTTTGGGTAGGGGCAAATTTTGAAAAATCCCCCTTTGACCCATTTAGAGTGCTCCAATCGAGTCCAAATGTATGACCGACCCCCGCTAACTTTGGAGGCCCGACCCACCGATGCCAGTGGCACACCCCCTGGGAACCCCCCGGGGGGTTCACCATACAAACATTTCAAAAAATCGCCGGTTTTGCACTTTACATGAAAAAATCAGCGAAATGCTTATGTTTTTTCTTTTTGGAGTTTATTTTTCTCTTTAGAAATTTATTTAGTCAGAACATATGTAAATGAAAAAATGAATTTAACTTAGTAATAGAAAAGAAATTAAAAAAAAATATTAGAAATTAGCGTTTTTACAACCCTTTTAAAACCAAGGCATCACTGTGATGCATTTGCATGTCGTAAACATAGTTGTGTGGGTTTTTTATTCAACCGTTTTAAAAAATGAAGGTATCACTGTGACACAATTGCAAATCGGAAAATTACTTGTGTGCGTTTTTTAAGACACAGCTGCATGTCGTAAACTTACTTGTGTAGTTTTTTTATAGCTGTGTTATTCCGTTTAAGTGCAGTACAAGACTGTTTTGTTTATTTCAATTAAAGTGACAGTGATGTCAACGTAAAGTAAGTTACATGTATGTGTGTAGGGGATGCCATAGTTTACATATATATAACATCTCCCTTCTTAATTCATATACTAAGTAAATTCATTAATAATTTATAATTCAATGATTAAAAAAGTTCAAATATTCTAATATACCAATAACTATAATCGTTTTCGCAGCCATTTCGAATTTCGCCGGTAAATGGTTTGGTCTTCTAGTTCGATCCAGTATGATCTAGGTGAATCGTGTGTGTCGATGATTGTAGCTTTTACCCATCCCTTATTGTTGTTCTTATACCATATCTTGTCACCCTTCACAAAGGATTTTTTTTGCGATGCAGAACGATCGTAGTATTTTTTTGACTTGTAATTTTTTGCATTTATGTTGTTAGATATATTCGGAATGATTCTTGGTTGAAACAAAGTTGTTTTTGTTGGCAAAAGGGTGCGGGTTTTTCTACTCATTAAAAGTTCCACTGGTGAAGCATCAATATCTTTAAGCGGTGTATTGCGATATTCGAGTAAGGCCAGCCATAACTCTTTTTTACTCTCATTTGTTTTCTTTATTAAGTTTTTTGCTATCCCAACGAAACGCTCAGCAAAACCGTTGGATTGCGAATAACCAGGGCTTGTTGTTGTTAATTTAGCTCCAATTTGATCACAAAATCGTTTAAACTCGTATGAATTGAAGGGCATATTGTCTGAAATTATTTCTACAGGTAATCCGTGTACGGCGAAACATGTTCTAAGTGCATTGATACACTCAGTTGCTGTTTTCGATTTCAACGGCGCTATGTCCAAATATCGCGAGTAATAATCCGCTATTATTAAATAGTTTCTTGATGCAAATTCACAAATGTCTACGCCTATTTTATTAAAGGGTAGATTGGGAATGCTGTGTGGTATCATTGGTTCCTTAACATTAGCGGATCGACTTCGCTGGCATATGTCACAATTGGTTATCATTTTCTCAATAGCACCATCAATTCCTGGCCAGTACACTAATTCGCGAGCGCGCTTTTTTGTTTTTTCAATACCTAAATGAGACACGTGCAGCTGCGATAATATGGTTTCTCTCAAAACAGGCGGTACAATAACCCTGTTATTCAAATATAAGATACCGTCTTCTAAAAACAGATCAGAACGATGCTTCCAAAACATTTTAATATCGTCACATAACAACTCTTTCTTATGAGGCCAGCCATTTATTAAAACTTGTTTCAACTGCGTTAAATGCTTATCTTTTTCTATCTCGATTCGAAAACTGTTTAGGCGTTCGTCGGTGATGTTTAATGAATGGACGAATTCGTTAAGATCTTCAATATCGGGCGCGTTATTGTCCTCATCAAAGTATCGAGACAACAGATCAGCGATGTATAAAAATTTTCCTGGAACGTGGATCAAGTTTAGGTCATATTTAATTAAACTAAGTTTAATGCGTTGGAGTCTAGCGGAAGGGATTTTGCAAAATTCTTTTTTCATTATCGAAACAAGGGGCTTATGATCTGTCCTAATCGTAACCTTTCGACCATAGATGTAATAGTGAAATTTACGACAAGCAAATAAAATGGCTAAAAACTCCTTTTCAACCTGAGCGTAGTTAATTTCGGCGTCTGTAAGACTGCGTGATGCAAATGCGATAGGCTTTCCGTTTTGCATGAGGCAACACCCTATGCCAGATTTAGATGCATCTGTTTCGAGGGTTATTTCTTTTCTTTCATCAAAAGATTGAAGCGTTGGTGCGTTTGCAATTAGTGTTTTTATCGACTCTAAGCAACTTTCGTGAGCTGAATGCCATTCATACACGACATTGGATTTTAGCAATTCTCGTAACGGTTGTGAAATACTAGATAAATTTGGTATGTATTCACGAATATAATTTATCATGCCGAGCAATTTTTGCAAATCTTTCTTATTATTCGGTTTTTTTTATTTTCATTATCGCTTTTACTCGGTCAGGATCACAGCGTATGCCCTCTGGTGAAATAATTTTTCCTAAATATTTGACCTCTGGTACCTTATATTGAATTTTCTCGACATTAAATTTGATATTCAACTTCCTTGCGCGAGCCATAACTAGCTTTAATGTGTGGTCATGCTCTTCAACACTTTTAGCTGCAATCAATATATCGTCAATGAAGACTATTACATTTGGAATATCATCAAAATTTCTCTCATTGTATTTTTGAAAAACCTCAGGGCCTATTTTTATACCATATGGCAAGCGCTTGAAACGATAACACCCAAACGGTGTATTGAAAGCACAAAGTTTACTAGCTTTTTTCACTAAGTCCGATTTGCCAAAACCCTTCTTTCAAATCCAACACAGTGAATATCTTACTATTAGCAATACGTACCGATATAGATTCAAATGATGGAATCGTATGATTTTCCGATAAAATGTCTGCATTTAAATCTTGCGGGTCTATGCACAAACGAAGTTTACCTGATTTCTTCTCAACAACTACAAGATTAGAGGCACGTTCAATAGGACCATCCATGCGTTCAATTATTCCATTTTCTACCATTTTGTGTAACTCATTTTTGACTTTTTCTGCTAACGACTGTGGGATTCTCCTTGCTGGTTTTACCACCGGAACCGAATTTTTCTTTACCTGGATATCCAAGTTCGTCACAAAACATCCCGTGCCTTCAAAAACATCTCTATAGTTTCGTATAAATTCATCCCTTGTTGCTTCACGAATGACGTTTACACGCTTTATAAGATTAAGCTGCTCACACGCTGATAGTCCTAACAAAGGTTCGTATGGTGTATCAACAACCGTGAATTGTAAAGTCTTTATTTCATTTCGGCACATCACTAAACATTGAATTACACCTTTGTAATCCAACTCAGCTCCACTATAACTGCGTGGTGGCAAACCACCTTCATAGAGCATCGTATTTTTCATGTATTTTATAAAATACTTGTAAGGCAAAATATTAACGTCGGCACCCGTATCCAACTTAAAATTTATGAGGCAATCATTCACTCTGATTTTTTCATACCATCTTTTCCGACCCACTGATAAGTCTTCAATATTATGCAAAACAATATCATCGCCACTTTCCCTTTTTTCGTCACTCTCTTTTATTTCGTGAACTTGTGAGCTATAACACGCAACGCTAAAATGATTTAAACGACCGCAGTTGTTGCATTTTTTCCCGAAGGCTGGGCATTTGCCAAACTCATGAACCCCTTTACAAAATTTACAATTAGCACTTTGTCTTGAATTATGCTTAACTCGTACATTTTCTTTGCTCAAACTTTTAGTATTTTCTATTGTATTGCGCGCACCGCTATTTTGCGAAATTTGTTTGTGTGATCTTATTGCATTCACTGTTGTGCATTTGCTTTGTTGTTGCATTTCATTTGTATATTTGTCCACTAGCTCAGCAGCGCGCGCGATTTCAATGGCTCTGCTCAAAGTCAAATTTTCTGTTTCTAAGAGTTTTTTCTGCAGCTTTTGACTGTTTGTCCCAATAACAATGTTGTCTCGAATCATTCTATCCATGTCCGTATACCCACAATGTTTCACTCTTTTGCGCAAGTCAAGCAAATACGATTCGAATGGCTCCCCCTCCTCCTGCTTCCGCGAATTGAATCTAAAAGCTTCATACACCTCATTTTTTTTTGGCGTGCAGTAATTTTCAACTGCCGCAAAAACTGCATCATAATTCTTCTTCTGTTCCACTGTAAGTCCAAAAGTGTTAAAAATTTCAATTGTTTCTGGACCACACGCATTGAGAAATATTCCAACTTTTTGCTGTTCTTTTCTTTCTTCCAAATCAATGGCTATGGCGTATATATCAAAATTTTGTTTGAAAACACGCCATTGCTCTGCAACATTACCATCAAACTTTAGGGGATCAGGGCGTCTCACGTCCAAACTACCATAAGTGCTGCTACTATTGGCCATTTTGAAGTCATCACCTTCGTCGTCCGTGCTGTCTTCGCTTTTATCTTGCTTCAATTCAGCCCCACTCCGTGTTTTCATTCCTTATTCGGCTGCGCCATGTGTTATTCCGTTTAAGTGCAGTACAAGACTGTTTTGTTTATTTCAATTAAAGTGACAGTGATGTCAACGTAAAGTAAGTTACATGTATGTGTGTAGGGGATGCCATAGTTTACATATATATAACAATAGCACCTACTTAAGAAATGAAGATTGTTTTTACAACCCTTTTTGCGGGTATTTTAAGGCACCTTCTTAAGAAATGCGCGTTTTTTGCAACCATTTTAAAAATTAAGGTATCACTGGAATGCACCGCAACCCTTTTAAACAATGAAGGTATCACTGTGACACAATTGCAGATCGTAAAATTGCTTGTGTTGTTTTTTGTAAGCCACCACAAGACACAGCAGGTAGAATTGAAATTACCATTTCATTCTTATTACCTCGTCTCGTAGACCATATATAACGCAACAGTTTTTGTGAATGCATTAAGTCGTTGTGAAGAACTCAAAGTGTGAAGTGCTAATTACAGATAAAAAAATATTTCAAAAAAAATAATAAGTGAAGTGACCATTCCAAATCAAAAAGTTTACAATGAATCCACCATCCTCTACACCGCAAGATGAAGCAACTACATCAACAACTATCGAAAACCCAATGAGTCATATACCCAAGCATGATGTTACTGTTTTTGGTGTGTCTACTGATTTAACTGATCTTAATTTACCAACCGATCTGGATATCTTGAGATATTATTTTTACTTAAGCGAACGTGCTAAAACAGAACAAAAAAAGTTTTCCCATAAATCATTCACTATTCAAGTACAAGATAAGTTGATTGGAATTTGGGAAAAACTTGGTATGGAAATAATGCTGAAAAAAGTGTATTTAATAAATTGAATAAATTGCTTGACAAGTATCAAGAGCAAATCAAGAGAAGAAACAACACCCAACAATTTACAGAGTATGTAAAATCTCTGGAAACAATTTTTTACATTGGAACATGTAAATGCGATTTGAAGGCAGCTCCATGTGCATGCGGCTGGGTTCCCGAACGCCTCAAAGAGTTCATGCACGATCAACATAATCAGAGAAGACTAACAATGGATGCATTTGTGATGGAAACTGAAGAGCAAGGAGCAACGTCTATGTCATCAATGCCAACATACCAAGATCCCGATGATTCAACATACGCACCGCCACCGGTTCAAGAAGATATGGATAGAAGCACAAGTTCACAATACACAGAGAGATACGATTGTTTTAACTTTGCCTTGGTATGTGACAGATTTGGTGTGCCTGACAGAGTAGCATCAGCATTGGGAACCGCTCTTTTGCAAGATTTTAAAATTAAAGATAAGCATGGGAAACCTTTCATCATGGATAAATCGAAAGTTCGCAGAGAAAAAGAGAAATGCAGACAAGAAGTGCTTCGCAAACGCAATTTGTTAGCGTTTTCATTCGATGGCAGAAAAGATGATACTTTAACGATAGATAAAATTGATGAGAAGTATCATACTAGGATGGTAAAAGAACCTCATCTTGTTGTTTTGAGAGAACACAATTCTGAACTGATTGGTTACGTAAGACTGGAACATGAAACCGCTGAATACAAAACAACCAAATTAAATGGTTTTTTCAACGATAAAAATATATCACTGGATGCATTAATTGGAATATGCACTGACGGTGAGCCAACAAACACTGGCCCACACGGTAGAATTATACGACGATTCGAATTGCTGTTAAAAAGGCCATTGCATTGGTTCGTTTGCCTTCTACACTTCAACGAACTTCCGTTTCGGCATTTGTTTGAAGCTTTGGATAAATCAACCAGCACTGGACCAAGATCGGCAACCGGAAAACTGAGCCGTCAAATCGAAACTTGTGAAACTCTTCCGGTAAGTTATTGCTATCACCCATTTATTATAATTGTCAATCATTTTTAATTATTTTATTATTATATATTTTCAGGTGGTGGACGGCTTCCAGAAAATTGAGTTGCAAAATATGCCCCCTGATCCAGAAAAAATTGAATTTTCCACCGATTCGAAGTACTTATACGACATGGCCCATGTAATTTCTGGCGGCGTGGATCCGGTGGATCTGGCTATCATCAAACCAGGGAAAATTGTACATTCTCGGTGGCTCACCAAGGCCGCTAGATTATTGCGATTATATGTGACAACGGAGAATCCAGATGCAAATTTAAGAATTCTGGTTGAATTTATAATTAAATGTTATGTGCCAATGTACTTCAATATCAAGTATTCCAGCTCTGTCGTGTACGGCAGTGCATTATTTTTCAAGTTCATTGGTTGGTCACGATTTCTAGAACCTCGTTTACGCAAAATTGTCAATCAAGTAATTAAAGATAATTCATATTATGCGCATTCGGAAAATATCTTGTTATCAATGTTGTTTGATGATAGCAAAGAAAAGCGCGACTGTGCCATCAAGAAAATTCTACGCTATCGAACCGATGTTGACGAGCCAATGGAACTTAGAGTTTATAAAAAACCAGATATAAACTTTAATTGCACAAGTTATACGGAAATGATCAATTTGAATGATATAAATATCGTATTTGAACCACCATTCACGCGAAGCATTCCGTACGATACATTGAAAGAATATTTAAATCAAGATGATCCACCGTTTAATGATCCAAAAATTCCATCACACATACAAGGAACGGAACGACATGTTCAATTGCTAGCTAGCGTTTCCAAACGGGTTATACCGGAAAATGTAGAGGCTGTTATGGCGACGACATTAGAGAGCCGTGCGAAATTGCCCAGACTTGAAAGTAAAAAAGACTTCAAACAATAATTTTTTTTAGTTTCTTTTCTATAACTCACTTAAATTAATTTTTTCATTTACATATGTTCTAACTAAATAAATTTCTTAAGAGAAAAAATAGATATTATTAAAAAAAATAAAAAATAAATATTATTATAAATAAATAAATAAAAATAAAGAAAAAACATAGCCATTTAGCTGATTTTTTCATGTAAAGGCCAAAAATGGTGATTTTTTGAAATGATTGTATGGGGAACCCCCCAGGGGAGTTCCAGGGGGTGTGCCACTGGCATGGGTGGATCGGCCGTCCAAAGTTAGTGGGGGTCGGTCATACATTTGGACTCGATTGGAGCACTCTAAATGGGTCAAAGTGGGATTTTTCAAAATTTGCCCCTACCCAAAAGTTCGACCAAAATTGGGGGACATCAGAATTCGTTTTAGAGGTATGGTTCCTTCGGCAAAGTTTCTTATTTTGATCCCTAGAATACGATTTTCACATAGCAATGAGCGATTTTTAAATCGACCCGCCCTAATATATATGTATATCGCTTCATGTCGTTTCTTTCGGCCTTCCATTGAAGAAAAACTAATTACATATATCAATGTCTTCCCTTCCAAATTCACTTGTAATTATCTCTTAAAAGAAGTTTCGGGGGCAGGGAGTGTCCCATACACTGACCACATTTGCCCAGACTTTTTTTACCCTCGTCTCGCCTCTGCCTAACACTTAAGAACACTTAAGAAACAGGTGCAGTGGTGTCTCCGTAGCCTAATCATAATGCAACAAGGTCATTTGAGCAGATATCTAACCTGTGCATAATTTCTATTAATCTACGTCCCATGAGGATGCCCGTGACAATCCTTAGTTCCTGCTTAGGCAAGTTATTATGAAGCCTATACCTGTTCTGGTTGTACCGCCCAATAATCTTTTGGCTTGGTGGAGTCCAACGGTGCTTTGCCAATTCGTTTCTATAGTTTTTTTTTCTGAGCTGTCCCCTAACCGTGTTTGGGAATACTGTAGGGAATGACTCGAGACCTTGAGGTTGCACCTTCCCTCACTAATCCGTCCGCTACCTCACCGAGTGCCCCCAAGGACTATAGAATATTTGATCCCAAAAGAGAGGAGTACTTTGGGTGCCGCCTAACTGTCTCTAAGGACTTGAGCCATTTGTGTAGCACTGCATAGTTCTTGCCTGTGTCATCCAAAATATATTCGTTCCAGTCTGTTTCGCTGAAGATCCCTGTTTTGAAAATCCTTCTGTCTTGTTTATTCTATCTATGAGGAACAGCGGTAGAAGGTGCTATGACCCTAGCTTTTCCATGTCCCTGGACGAAAAAACTTTTTTTTCTGCCGCAGCCATCTCTTGCGAAATTCAGGAGAGTACGCTTGGCGCCTTTTAAATGGTAATATGCAGTAGCTCGAAGTTAATAATCACCTTCAGTGCTGCCTTCGTACGCATCGGTCTCGTGATACACACACATGCCAAATGGTTAAGTTTTGTGGGAGACTTTCGCACCGTAACTAAATAGTTCCGAAGCCAAGCCAACGCCCCACATGTAATTACCAGAGCTGGGTAAATTCCATTCCATTACAATTACATTCCTCAGTAATTGTAATTAGGAATCAATTCCTTCAGTCAACTTTTTCAGTTCCTTACAAGTAATTTCAAGTGCAATTTGTTTTCTTGCATATTGTAGTTGAAACTAAAAACATTCTAGTAATATTTTTTTGTAATTAATTTTCTTGCAATTCCAGGTAATGGAATGGTAATGGTTACTCCTTTCAATTCCTTATTTGTACGCGACGTGCATAGTATGATCCGGAAAATTTAAAGATTATCCTATAATCTCAACAGTTGCAGGTTAAGTTCTTCAGCTATCGTAAAGTCCAATTACTGATACTACTTAGGTATAAGTTCTTTATTGAAAGCAGTTAGCAACTGAGAAATTGCGGAAAGTTATTGCAACAGTCAACAAATAGTTTATAAAATTTTACCGAATACTTTTTAAGTTAAAATTTAAGTTTTTATTTTCCTTTCAACTGAATTGAAAAAAATGATTACATTCTCAATCCCTTTCAAAGGAATTGGAAAAAAATTACATTACGAGCACGTAATTAATTCCAATTATATTATGCAATTCCTTGTAATGGAACTAAAGAAAAAAATAAGTATGTAATTACTTCTAAAGAATTGAAAAAGTAGTTAGTTTCTTTCCTGTGGACTGAAGGAATTGATTACTAATCACAATTCTTGTCATTTATAATTGAGAGTAATTTAATTCATAAAGCAATGATTTAGACCCATCTCTGGTAATTACTGGGCCGACTATCATGGTGTTCATCCATCTCAGGGTCTTTTGGCTACATCCCCA